GAACTTTCTGAGGAAGGGTCACCGGACCCGAAACGTTAACTCTGTTTTTTCCTTCACAGATGCTGCCAGACCTGCTGAGCTTTTCCAGCAACTTTGTTTTTGTTCCTGATTTACAGCATCCGCAGTTCTTTCGGTTTTTACTGTGAATGTAACTTGTTGTCTTTGGATTCCATTTCAAAACTATTACAATGCTGCAGCGCAGTGGGAATTTTTCTTTTATCCTGTCACCAGTGGAGGGGTAATGCTGGCTGGGCCAGGATTTATGATCCAACCTTAATTGCCCTTGAGAAAGTGGGGCTGGTGAGCTGCCTTCTTATACCACTCTGGTCCATGTGGTGTGGGGATATCCACAATTACAAGGAAGAGAGAGTCTCAGAATTTTGAACCAGAGACAGTAAAGGAACTATGACAGACAGATTGTGAATTTTAAAACAAAGCACACTCCCTATTCTCAACACATTGTCATGAACAGATTGCAACTTAATATTTCCCCTATTTAAACTGGGGCATATTTCCTCACTCCATCTGTTTGTGGGCTCTGATTTTTCAAGGACAGCAACACTGCGGTAAAGTTAAACTAGAAGCAAGGTTTATTTCACACATTCACATTTTCACAGACCTGCACATGGGTGTAAATTGCTTCAGTATCTGAGAAGTGGCAGATGGTGCTGAACATTGTACAATGAACAGTGAACACCTTCACTTCTGACCTTATGATGGAGGGAAGATCATTGATGGAACAGATGTAGGTGGTTGGGCTTTGGACACTGCCTGAGGAACTCCTGCAGTGATGTCTAGGAGCTGAGATGATTGCGGGAAGGCAATGGCCAGGTAGTATTATCACCCGACAATCAATCCAGATGCCAGCACTGATCTGACAACCTGGGTCTGCAACCACCATGGCAGATGGTGGCATTTGAATTCAATTTTAAAAAGCTGGAATTAAGAGTCTGATAACTTTTAGGGCTGTCATTTACTGGGTTGGGCCTCTTGAATTTTGAGGCGAACTGTAGAATTTCTATATTGCTGGATATGTACCAGTGTTTGAACTGCACAGTATTTCTAAGGGTGGAGCACACATCTCCATATTATTGTTAGAACGGCACCAGAGCCCAGAGCCTCTGCCGTATCTTGTGCATTCAGCTATTTTTTAGATATCACATGGAGTGAATTGAGTTGGCTGAAGACTGGCATCTGTGATGCTGGGGAACCACTGGAGAAGGCTGAGATGGATTATCTATTCAACACTTCTGGCTGAAGATTGTTGTCAATGCTTCAGCCTAGTTTTTTTTTTGCTCTAATGGTTTGTGCTCCCACATTGATAAGGATGGGGCTATATGTGGAGCTTCATCTTCACTTACTTGTTTGATTGTCCAACCTTCACAACTGTGTGGCTGGGTTGCAGAGTTTAGGTCTGATCTATTGGTTGCAGAATTGCTTAGCTTATTCTATCACTTGCTGTTTCTGCTTTTCAGCATTCAAGATGTCCTTTATTGTAGCTTCACCAGGTTGACATCTCATTTTTAGGTATGCCTGGTGATGCCCCTGGCATGTCCTCATGCACTGTATTGAACAGGGTTGATTTCCTGGCTTGATGGTAATGCTAGAGGGGGGATATATGCCCAATCCTGAAGTTACAAATTGCAATTGTTTAATTCTATTGCTGCTGATGACAGCCCATAGCCCTTCATAGATCCCTTGTGTTGAGTTTCCACAGGTGTTTGAAATCTATCCCAGTTAACAGGAAACAGAGTAGGAACAAAAGAGTCTTTTTCAGCATGACAGGATGCCATAGGTTGTATGTCACAAGGGTTGGTGCTGGGACTTCAACTCTATTGTTTATAGCAATGATTTGGATAATGGGAGCAAAGGTATGGGAGATAAATTTACCCATGACAAAGGGACATCAGAAAGTGAGTTGTGAAAAGGACATCAGGAGCCTACAAAGGGATGTAAATAGGTTCAGTGAGTGGACAAAAATCTAACAAATGGAGTATTAAACAGGAAAGTGATTTTTTTTTTAAATTCTTCCTGCCTCAATGAGCAGGGAGGCATGTTATTTATATGGCAATAGGATGCAGAGCTCTGAGATGCAGTCAGAACAGGACGTCCTAGTGCATGAGTCACAGAAGGTTAGTATGTAGGTACAGCAAGAAAGCAGGAAAGCTAATAAAATGTGCATTATTGCAAGGGGAATAGAATGCAACAGTCAGGATGTTATGATTCCTTTATACAGGACATTGGTGAGACCAAGTCTGGATTGTAACAAAGACAAAATACTGTGGATGCTGGAAATCAGAGATGAACACAGAACACTGGAGAAACTGTTTCTTTCCCCATAGATGCTGCCTGACCCTGAGTTGATGTTTTGAGTCTGGTACAACTTTCAGAACTGAAAGGTTTTGGAGAAGGTTCTTTTTTAAGCTTGTGACAGAAGCAGAGGAGGAGCAAGAGAGCAGATAGTGTAGAGGCCCAGTGCAAAAGACAAAGGAATTGTTAATAGTGAAGGAAGAAAAGATGTAAAAAGGTGGAAATTAAAGTGTAAGAGGGAGACAACTAGTCCTGGCTACTAAACAATATCTAAACACAATAAGGGGAGGTGGAGAAAAAAGAATGTAAGAAAAATGGAGAACAGACTTAAAGCAGTCAGTTTCTGAACTTAATTTCAATACTGAGACCTCAAGGCTGTAAAGTTCTTAAGCAGAATTTTTCCTTGAAATTGCATTGTGCTTCATTGAAACATTGTAGCAGGCTCAGGCAGACATATTGAAATGGCAAGTGACTGGGAGGTAGGGATCATTCCTATGGACAAAGTGGAGGTGTTCTGTAGAGCGTTTGGTCTTTCCAGTGTAAAGGAGACCACGCTGCGAGCAGTGAATATAGTTGGCTAAATTGAAAGAAGTACAAGTAAAATGCTGCTTCACCTGAAGGATGTGTCTGGAACTTTAGGAAATAGGGAAGGAGGTTGTTAATGGGCAAGTTTTATACCTATGATCGCATGAGGTGGTGTGTTGGACTGATGGAGGATTGGACCAGGGTGTCATGAAGGGAGTAGTCTACGCAAAATGCTGACAGTGGAAGGGGAAGATGTGTTTGGTAATGGTATATTGCTGGAGGTGGAGGTCATGCAGAGGGATGATCCTTTGAACGCAGAGACAATTAGGTGGAAATACTATGTTATTCTGGGAAGGAGGCGCATGATTGAGGGCAGAAGTGCATAATATGGGTCCTGTCAACCAGAATGGGCAGGAATAATCAATTAAGAAAGAAAGTGGTCATGTCAGAGGCAATTCAGTGGAAGGCATCATCATCCAAACAGATGTGACAGAAATAGACAAAGCTGGGGGAATAGAATGTAATTTATGAAGTGAAATCAAAGCCCACTAGTTGTTATGTTCTCCAGAACATTAGCCTAGCCTCTGGATATTACCAGTACAGAATCACCTTCTTCCAGATGATTTGAGGGCTTACAGATATTTAAGAGTCAATTACTAACAATTGCAGGGGTCTGTGTTGCAAAGCAGAAGTCGACCCCTGCCTGATAACTAAAACCGAAACACCAGAGAATCTTGCATCACCTCAATCTGTTAAAGGAAGTGTGAAAAGTGGTATGACCTGCCTCTCACCACATCCACCGCCCCCAAATCTATCATAAAGGAGAGGCTAAAATGTAACGAACTCCTGATAGTCACACTATAATCACAAGTAACAATTTATCTAACTCTAACAATGAACAAATTAACAGAACTGCTAACAAAGTGAGCAATTCCCCCTTAAT